GGTAATGGAAAGTTCATTGAACTATATAGAACGTACAAAGGAGAATTAGGGTGCTCTTACATTATATATATACTGAATTAACCTCTGTCAGAGGCTAGGGAGCTTACCACTAGGCTTAGCAAAGCTCTCTTTTATTATATATCCTCTAGGCGGGCGGCTTTAGCTGTTTGTCTATCTATAAGTGAGCTTTAGGTAAAGCTTTATAAGCTTAGAGACTATTTTTTGATAATCTTTTGAGGTTATTATATAGTTATATATAATTTAAGGGCTTAATATATATAAATACTTTTATTTTTTAAACAATTTTATATAATTTTCTCCTTTAGGTATCTTCATTCTATAAGCTCTTCTTATAGCTATATATTTATATATATAATTCTAAAAAACTTATAAAGCTAATATAAGCAGGAGATTATCATTTATAATAGCTTATATTAAGTAGACTATATTTATATATAAAGTATATACTACTATCGCTTATATTATAAGTAAGTTATAAGATCTTAGGAGGATAATATTATAAGCTTGTTAGTAAGGTTAATCAAGCTTTATAGTTGCTACTTACTATGCTATCACTCCTAATTTTAGAGTCGATGGTAATAAAGATAAAGATATTGCTTCTGGTTTATATGCTTATACTATCGTTAGAGCTTTATTAACGATTATATAGCCTATCCTCACTATATTTATCCTACCTAGGAAGCTAAGTATAATGTTTCTTACCTAGGTTATATTTAGTCTATACTTGCTAGAAAGAATGATAGCTGATGTTTTGATACCATTAGGTATAGAAAGCGCTACTTTGGCTATACTTCCGGCCATTCGTATATGTCTGTCTCTACCATCGTTTAGCAAACGGCTAGTCTCTTATATGCTACTCTATAACAAAACTCTCTAGCTTTTGACATTATAAGTAAACTTAAAGATAAGCTTTAAAATATACTTATCTTATATTATTAATATACTTATTATTGATGACGATTATATAAAAGAAGAATCGTTTATATATCGTCTTATATATAGCATTCGATAATATTCCTATGGTAAGGAATAAGTAGGAGAATAAGGCTGACAAGCTTAAGAAGAAGGAGGATGATGAGAAGGAGAAGCTTAAGAATAAGCTAGACGTTATTATACTCTCTCTATATGTTTAAGCTATATATATGATTATTTATAGTATAATTGACGATGTTTTTACCTTACTCTACTAGTGAGTAGTATACTCTATACTCTAGCTTCGTTTGTTTAACGTTTTTGTTTTTAATTAAATTATCATAATAAATAGAATCTATAGCTTTGCTACATTTATTATACTCTTTATTAAACTTTCTCTTTATACTAAAATTGAGTTAATAAGCGTAGAATCTATCTTTTGGATCTATTGATTTTGACTTTCTTTGTTTGTTGGAAGCCTTTGTTTGCCTTTGATGGCGTTAGGTATATAAGGTGATTAGTAGAAGCTTTTGTAGACTATTCTTTTTCAAGTCTTTTGCTTATTTATTTATAGTTAAGCTTGTTTTATTTCTACTTACTATCTTTTCTTCTTAACTTAATATATCTTTTTAAGTTTAATATATATATCCTACTGTTGACAGCGTTTATATTATACTTTGCTTAGGCTATATAAGGAGTGTTTTAGCTGGTAAATCTGACGGTATTTATAAGAATACTGTTAGTTATAATACTTACTGTTGGCATTATATAAGTAGTCATTAGTATATTATAATGTCTGCTAATATGATACCTTTAGCTTATCAATTGACTATGACAATCTAAGGAAATAACTAGGCTATAAGCGTCTTCATTCCCTTAGTCTTAATATAAGTATACTGACTATTATTAGGGTGTTTGTCGCCTTTATATAATGATCTAGATTATTTTAGCTATACCTTCGGTCTTACCTTTAGCAGCTTTGGCTATCGTTTTGACGCTGGCTCTAGGGCTTGGTGTCGGTATAATTATAGTAATTAGCGTAGGAGAAGATGGTAATAGGGTGTCTATAGCTATTCTCGCTTGTTAGGCTAGGGTTAAGGGGCTTTTAAATGCTTTGGTAGATGAATTGGTGAATTAGATTGGCTTTTTGCTTAGTAGATATTGTTTTTCTCTTTTACTTACTTTCTTTTAGCTTTAGTGCTTACTATAGATTGAGAAGGGCCTTAAAGTGCTTGAATTGTTGATAAGTAAGGTTCTTAGTAAGTCTGTCTGTAGGTATTTAGTCTATAAGAATGTAGGTGACTTTGAATAAGCTTATTAAATACTCTTGTTTAAGCTATATATTATGAATATTAATATGATATAGTTTAGTAGCTAATCTTATACTTTCTTCGATTATTAAATAGATTGTTTGCTGGTTATTATAGTAGATATTTTAAAGCTTCCTTAGATTTAAGCCTATATTTTTGAAAAGGTGTTTAAAAGCTATCATTTCCTTTGCTATATAAGATAATGAGAGTAGCTTAGCCTTAGTTGTAGACATTATTATAGTATTTTGTCAAATAGCTTACTATATAATTAATTCTCTAAAGAGTGTTAGAATATAGCTATCTAACAATCGTCTTGTTTCTAAATTGTTAGCAAAAGATATGTTACTGACGATTAGTAGAGTTTATACTTTTTTATTCTATCTTTTATATCTAATGTCTAAAAGGTATATTATAAATAAATAACGAATCACTTAGGCTACTATTATAAAGTATATTTTGTTTAAGTTAGTGAGAAAGTATGATAATATAGATATAGCGAATGCTATATCTAGCCTTAGTATGATCGCTATATATAGTATAGAGTCAATTCACTTTTGATAAGCCTTTATTTCTACCTTGGAGGTAGTTCTTAGGTTCTTTTTAAGCTTTACAAACGATAATAAGGTGCTTAGAATATAAGTATTATTTGTAAGCTTGAACCTTATGGTGATCTTTTTAATATAAGCGTTATAAGCAAGAGTTATCGTTTTTGCCGCTCTATCTTATATTATTCATATGCTAAGAAACTATTCTACTACTTTATAATCTTCTAATTTATAAGCTACTTTAATCTCTTTGATTAAGGCTTCCACCTTTACTAAGTGCTTTTTATAATAGAATACTAGGATATCGTCTATATAGAAAACGATTATGACCATATGATTGCTATTGACGAAAAGGTATA